ATATATATATATATATATATATATATATATATATATATATATATATATATATATATATATATGTATTGCCTAATAGGCAGAGTGATTTTCTTTCTTTTCAATAAATTGTTTCCAATTAGTTTATTTGAATTATTATTATTATTATATTATATTAATAACATAAAATATTGACTTAATTGTGTTAGTTTAGGTTAGGTTAAGATAGGTTAGGTTAGGTTAGGTTAGGTAGAGTTGGTTAGGTTCGGTCATATATCTACGTTAGTTTTAACTCAAATTTTAAAAAAAAATCACTCATACATAATAAAATGGATAGCTTTATCATTTCATAAGAATAAAATATTGAAAAATATATATATTCAGGAATTCAGGAAATTCATTATATGGAAGACCTATGGCGATTCCACGACCCAGAGATAGCTTCTTGAACCTTGCTGGAATCAATCTCACTGAGGGCCAAATCACTCTCTTAAATCTGGGTATAAACTGTCACGTTATGTCCAGACCAAGTGAGATGGCCCGGAAAGTGGAGTTGGAGATCCTATTGGACGACAAATTCGACCTCGAGACACAAACGAAGGTTACCACTAAAGACACCTTGCAAGCAGAACTTATTGCAGAAGGAGGAAAGATTCGAGGTAACTACAGAAACACCATACTGTCCCCCGAGCTCAAAGCGGCAGCTAAGAGCCTTCGTGAAAACAAGGAGATAGTCGCCAGGAGAGGTGTCAAGTCGCCAATATACGTCATTCTTAAAAAAGACGAATATCTGGCGAAAATGAACCTCATACTCTCTGACCAAACTAAATTCCAAAGGGTAACGAACGACGCTACAGCCGAATTGAAAACAAAGGTAAACAGATTGATTGAAACTATGAACGCCAAGAAATCCGGACTCCACCTGCCAAAGGTTATTGGGGAATACAAACATGGGTATGCGTATGGAAATGTCAAGACCCACAAGCCTGGAAACCCACTTCGGCCAATCATCAGCCAGATACCCACGATAGAGGTAGAACGGCCTATTGACATAGCTCGAGTGCATGGGGAAGTTGTGTAAAACCCTGGTTTGTGTCTCGGAGAGGTTACAGGATCCAAGTAATTTAGGTACAACTTCTGGTTTCAACTCTTTTGACCATGTCGTAGCTCATTCGATTAAGGCAGTGTCTGGGATGATCTCAGACGTAGGTACGAATGCTCATCACAGCCCTTGTGGACACATATATCATAGCTTGGATAATGCTATACAATAGTGGCTTCCAATCTTCAGAATATACAACGGAAACTAACTTTGGAATGAGCCTTAATGCCAGTAGTGAGTGACCAGACCTGTATAAGAGAAGTGTTTTTGACGTCAACATGAACTTTGCTCCTACACACTTCCAGATGGAAGCAACAGGAACTCAAAAGAGTGAAGAAGGTTCTTGTAACAACGGATACTCCGACGGTTTTGTGGAAAAGGTCATTAAAAAGGAAGATATACCGACTGAACCTGTTCCATCTATTTACCTTTGCAGGGAAATTTTTATTCATCAGCTCACATTTCAAAAGAAAGTCTTCTGAAAATCATAATCGACAGAGATTATGATTATTATTTATCAGAGATTATCAGCACTACCAACAGTAAACAGAAGATACAACTCAATATATACTACAAAAGCATGAAGACTACTAACTTGATCATGAAGAACTCTATTGAAACCCAACGGAACGACTTGAAAAATACGAATGTTATCTATGCCTTTACATGCCTAGTTGGGACTGTCAGTCTCGTCAATATTAATGAATAGGTAAGACAACAAAACCTCAATTAAGATGCCAAAAAAATAACAAATAATTAGGCTTTCTCAACGATCACTTTATATGTACACAAACTATTCAAACGCCAGAAATATTCTGACTGGCAACAGCAAAATAAATACCAGTCACAACAAAAATAGAAGTTTAGACATGGTAGAAGGACTACATATTGAACTCTCAACCAACTATCAAAGGCCAGCTTACACTTTCATGTGTTATACCATCCTCAAGGCCAAGAAATATTGTCAACTAACAGTACACCTTCTGCCCCAGTCGATATCAACAGGGTTACACCTCACACCAGTGTACATGGCATATATCCTCCTATTTCAACCAATTTGTATTCACTTTCCCCTTGCTTCCGATGATGCTAAGAGTTTCATGAAAAAAATAATTTAGAAATACATATAAGACCAAATATATTTCAAAATGAACCTTGAGGAGTAATTTTTGTTTACTTCTTTCCCAAAGTGAATAAGAAATATTGTGAAGATTCATGTGATACTCATATATGTGGTATATATATGTATGTTTATAAATAAGAATGTTTGCCTGTCCGGGGTTGGAGGCCAGACCCTTGGGTCTTGTCTCACCCAAATTTGCCAGTAATTGGTGATGGGTACGCACCCAGTAAGGTCAGGTAGGAGTTGGCATAAATTGAATGAGTGCCTCTTGAAATAGTGTCAAGTGTTCTTGCCTCTGCCAGACTAATTTTGTCACTCTGGGATTCTCGTTCAGATTCAGTCCAGTATTCTCCTGGTACAAAACAAAATATTAAAATAATTAAGGTTGGAATTATTTTAATTATATTTATCTTTTATTTTGATTTCTTCATTCTGCGTTGTAAAACAATTTGCACTGAGATCTGCAAAATTGTCAACGAATTTCTATCATACTGTGTCTGTTTTAGTTGTTATAGAGGACAACCTCTTGGAACGAGTGGAGTGTGGAGAGATGTGGCCGGCTAACAGTTCAATGCGCTGCCCACACTCACCAGACTGAGGGTGGGAGGAAGGAATTCTTTCCGCTTCATTTTCGTTGTTTTCGACTAAATCCTGAAAATGCACTGGTAAACGGCGGGAAGAAGCATAAAACTCCACGGAAAGCACATCTGCCATTATATTTCATCCTTCTTAAAAATCGCAGGGGGATCGCTATAGATGCAGATATTTTGTAGAGCCTGGCACTTTGGCTTATCATGGCCTGTGACATCCATTACCTCAACATGTTTCATGTTAGAAGTTGGACGAGGACAGCCCCAAACTTTTGGCCTCCTACTCTGGACAGACATTCTATTTTATAGATGAAGATATAGTGTATTTTAAATTCCTTAAGTAATTGTACCTCAAATTACTTTATTTTTTAAATATGGATTTAACTGAAGGAATACACAGGTGTTGGTGACTCGACCCCAAACTGCAAAAAAATTACTTCCTACCAACGTACTAATCAAGTCTTAACGTGACTTACAATGTGTGTTCATGTCGTCAATGACACTCATGCACAACTTTCTTTTTCTGTTTTAGTGTACTATTGAAATATATATGTCATACAGTATATACGTGTATATGTATATCCCGAAATACCATGTTTGGATAGTGGATGCTGTAGATTTAAGGTCTCTATAAATACATAAGTATTTAGATCGACCCCAAAAAGTTGTTCCATATAAGTGTTTGGAGCCCTTGAACAGTTAATAAACAAATGAAATAAACTGTATGTACTTGTTCCGGAAGAATAGCTTCTTCACCGACATTATAAATTGGAGTGACCCCGATCCTCCTATGAGCGCCTGATTACATCCACGTCCCCCTGCAAAGTTGGGTGATGCTAATTTCACACGACTGACCTTCACCCTTAGACATTCAAACAAACACACATTCTCTTTTATATGTACACCAGATGGGGTAGTCGGTAGTTCCCCAACTCGTCTCAGGGACCGAATCGACCTCAAAATTAGCGCAGTTCAAGTGTTGGGTGACCGGATTCTCCCGGTACAAAAAACCAGTCATAAATCGAAAATCATCATAAATAATTAAAAAAAAAACACGGAATAAACTTTCACCCAACATCCGTAATATATGGATTAAAATTCCATGTTTTCACTTATATTTTCAGTATATTACGACCATCTGTGGCGTACTCACAGTCGTTGAGTCTCAATTGGCTTAAGGCTGTTGCTGTTGACTGCCTTTGTGGACTTGTGTATTTATTTCCACCAAAATAGATTCAATTGGTTAGCTGTTGTCCTTGTCATGTTTCTGACACTCCCTCATCCGCCGGGCGCGCGGAATTAATGTATGACTATAATATAGGTTATTCTCACCATGCGTAAAACAATTATTTTTTACATTTTACTTTGAATCCATATATTACAGGACAAAGTATGTCGATGTAAATCACACGAAAAAATAAAGAGAAAATTAGGCAACGTGTAACTGCATTGATTTTTAATTACAAAACTTCGTTTGGGGACACTTTGGCTGAACTTGTCATGTGGCAACGTGTGACCTTCGTTCGTCTTAGGGTCTAGTCTCACATTTCGTATAGAAATTTATTTTGTGAGTATTAAGAACTAAAATAATGAACAAATCCGAGAAGGTAAGTTGGGAGGGGCTAAAATATACCTCACATTTACTTCCACAGTTTTCTAAAGTTCCACAATTGGGCCCAGCTTTCGGGAATATTTATACCCGGCTAGAATTGTTAGTACTCCAAATTTTGGTAGCAGTCAAGAGGAATTCGACCTTGCTAGTCAGATGTCCAGACGCAGCTTAATGTTTACGGTGGCAACGATGAGAGAACTGTCAGATGAAAGGTTTACATTGGCAGGAATAACTGATTAATATAAGACAATCCTGGCTACAGAGAAACATTTAAAGAGACCAGCTGTATCCAAATTACCAACTGGTAGAGGCTCCTAGCTGGAGACTCAAAGTTAGAGACTCACAGCTGCAGATTCACAGCTGGAGGCTCAATGCTACAGATTCACACTCAGAGACTAACAGCTGGACAATTAATAAAGGATTAGAACCCTGTATAACAAAGTGTGGATCAAATCTTTCAAACATTGAATAAACCAATCAATGTGAATTGACATGTCAGCCAATCAGCTCCAGACAATGCTAATTATATTTTTACCAAATATTATTAATTCGGGTCCTTTAACATCCTAATATCAGAGGGGTAAATAAAGTGCTTTAAGTATGTAATATATATTATTATGTATATATTACTTATATATTAAATTACAAAATGTTATTGTACAAGTTCATAAAACTAAATAAAAAATGTATTTCTAGAGAGCTGTAGTTAACAGCGAGAGCGCCGCGGCTCAGCCATAGTGGCCCCCGCGGCGGCGCTCACAGATGATGGGCTTCTCGTGATGGCAGGCGACGTCGTGCCATGTAATGCCGTCTTTATAGAAGTTGTTGAGCACTGCCAGACAGAACTCCTTCCCGTCCTCGCGGTTGTCAGGCTGGGGAAGTCCGAGGCTAAGGAAGGAAGCAGAGTTTATGGTCAGATAAATTTACACCGTTCAGGATGGATGAAAAATATAATTTGCAGTAAAAATATAATACAGTTGCGTGCTGTCGTCCGTTCTCAGCACATTGGTACGAGTCCACACATCTAGAGTATTTTCTCCCCAGCTAGCAAAAAGAGAGAAGGTACTTTACATCTCCTAGTGCTCCTGAGAAACAACGCTGCTCGTGAAGTCTATATGCGTACTAAGAAAGTATGTCTCATATCTACATAATGTTAATTTGCCAACCCATCCCTTTCCCTGCATTACGAATGCGGGTTTTATAATGTATATATTATATTTCTGATCACTTACAGAGAGATTATAGACATAATGCTTTCTAAATGAATGAGTTGATATATGATTCTTTCATCAAAATATTTTTTTTATTTAAATTTGTCCAAAGAAAGAGAGCGTAATATGGCAATTAACAGATATAATGTGATACAAGAAATAGTGATAAAAGATTCTTAACCAGAATCAAAGCCACATTTTCCAAACAATAAGATGGGCGACTCACCCGCCCGTGAGGGACCAGTTGAGGCCGTAGAAGGGGTAGCCAGAGGGCCAGGCGAACTCGTACCCATCGCGGTATCCACCAGTCCAGATGTACTTCAGCTTGTCTGTGGAAACATATATTGCCAGTTAAAAATAGATGAAAATAAGTTTACAAAATATTAGTAATTAGCACATAAAATTTAATAATTTACATAAAACACTTTATTATAAATTGTATAAAAAACTTTTAAAACTGGGGATTACTTAAAAAGGCAATGCTGTTGTTCGCACTAACAAACAACTGTATGGATATGCTATTGACTTGTTAACATAAATGAAACAAATCATAAACCCTTTGACAAGCACAGAAATCATGCATAATATCACAGACGCATGATAGTGCCTGTCATGCGCCTGACAGATAAAACTAGTTGGAAAATTAGTTCAGTGAATTAGATATTAAATATTAATGAACTGTATTTTTTTAATTCGTCCCATTCATTATCTTTTCAGTCAAGTACACTTTCGACTTGTATAAATTGAAAACAGAATAAAACTCATCACTGCGGTCGTTTGACTGTTTTTATATAATATCTTCCATTATATTCACTAATAGTTTATACCTATTTATTAGAAAGAACACAAAAGTTCGATTACTTCGTATGTTCACAGCTTTTGTCATCTGCTTGCAACCAAATTACATTAGTTTAGATTTTGTATACATAAGTTTCCTCTAATTTACAATATTTTTGTCAAACTGTACAATATATATTTCTAGTTATTTAAATGGAGGATTAAGAGAGCAAGTTCGCATGCGCTCCCTCGCTACCAGCGAAGGATGGCAAACATAAACTTGTAAGATATTGTTTCCATAATCTACATATTATTTGTATGTGATTTTCGTTTGAATGGTAATCTTTCTGTTAGACAAATTCGAGTAATATCGCACTTTTCATTTCTCCACACTTTAAGTATGGCAACTAGACTTTTCTCATCATTTTGTCATAATCTCTATCATTTTTATAACAACTTCTGACGAAGTAAGGAAGGAATAATGAGGGGAAAGCCCCAAGCCATTACATCTATATATAGCACTTGGTCAGGATAAGGACTTGGGATATGATGGGGGAAAGTAATGGTGACCAACCACTTGGACAGTCGGAGCAACTATATATATTTTTCTTTTTAAACAGGAATATTTCAGTACGCCCTCTTAGTATATTGTTCCTTTCCCATTGAACAGACTCACCTCGAACCTATTACATAGTAGGAACAAGTATATTATTGATATCTCCTAAAATATTGCACATTGTGGAGTATATTGACAGATATAACTTAACAGTCAATGAGTTGAGGGTGATATCTTACTAACCTTGATAGATGATATTGGATATAATTTTGTCTTCTTCGTAAGTCTCTATACTAACACCCTGCCAGCCATAGCCCAAACTGGAGCAGTAGTAGTTAGCAGTATGCCAGTCATACTTCCTGCCTCCATCATGCCGCCATGAGAAGTGGTAGTCGGTATACTCCAAGCTCAGGTCCACCTGGTACAGTGGAGAGATGTACGCTGAGCTTTATGCCGGCGACAACCTTTACACCAAGTTAATATTGCTGGATATAATGTAAACCTCCAAAACAAGAGATACTAGAATTAATTTTACAGAAGCTTGATTCTAGAAGGAGGATATATCGTTTTTTCTGTTAGAAAATTACATTTAAAAGAAAAGTATCCAAAGTTACACATCACTGAAAAATTCACACGATTTCTGGATGTGAATGTATATAATATTTCTTCATATTTAATAATATTTCTGCTTCATATAAATATACGGTAATATAATTTATAAAGAGTATATTCAAACAAAGTTCAATTCCTTTTTCAGAGGTAAACCTGTGTGTATTGTTAATACACACAGGTTTATTGTGTGTATTATTAATACAATAAAATTAATTTTATATTAAATATATAAAATGGTTACGTGGCTACGCTAGTGCAAGGTACTGTATGATATACTTAGGATGGCTGGAAGACATTCAAGAGCAAGCCGTTATGCTCTATTGCTTTACTTCTGTGTACACCTAATTGCAAGTTATTATTGCCTGTTGCACATCTAAGCTTCTGATAGCTTCAGCTTTCCTTACTTTTATAGGATCTGAGGGTTCTGGTGGGTTTAACAAAATCATTAGTATAAATGGAACCTGCATTGGTCGGGAGCTAAAAATCCTCCCTAATGCTTCGTGTGTCCTTTTAAAGATATATTCGCTTTACCACTGTCGGTGACACGAAGCCTGAAAGGATTACCGCGGTACTCAAAGGCCAACGACTGTTCTGCCATACCACATGATGCAGAAGCGTCCCGAACCGTCTCCTTATTGCGCTGGGATTGAACCCGGGACCTCTCAGTGGTTTGTGTGTGTGTACTCACCAAGTTGTACTTGTCGGGGTTAAGCTCTGGCTCTTTGGTCCCGCCTCCTAACTTTCAATCAACTGATGTACAGGTTCCTGAGCCTATTGGGCTCTATCATATCTACACTAGAAACTGTGAATGGAGTCTGCCTCTACTACATCACTTCCTAATGCATTTCAATTGTAAACTACTCTGACACTAAAAAAAACGTTCTCTCTATATATATCTCTATGGCTCATTTGGGCACTCAATATCCACCTGTGTCCCCTAGTGTTTGTACTCCTTGTGTTAAATAGCCTGTCTTTATCTGCCCTATCAATTCCTTTGAGAATCTTGTATCTGGTGATCATGTCCCCCCTAACTCTTCTGTCTTCCAGCGACGTGAGGTTCCATTCCCGTGGTCACTCCTTGTAGCTCATACGTCTCAGTTCGGGTACTAGTCTGGTGGCAAGTCTTTGAATCATTTCTAGTTTAGTCTTATGCTTGACTAGGTGTGGACTCCATGCTGGAGCTGCATACTCCAGGATTGGTCTGACATAGGTGGTATACAAAGCTCTGAATGATTCATTACACAAGTTTCTAAAGACCTTTCTTTTGGTGGCCCACCTGGCATATGCCGCTGATGTTATCCACTTGATATGGGCTTCATGAGACAGATCTTGTGTGATATCAACCCCCAGGTCTTTCTTTCTCTCTGACTCATGAAGAATTTCATCTCCCAAGTGATACCTTGTATCTGGCCTCCTGCTCCCTACACCTATCTTTATTACATTACATTTGCTTTGGTTTAACTCTAACAACCTTTTGTTCGACCATTCCTTTAGTTTGTCCAGTAGTCTTGAATTATCAAACAGTTCTCCTCTGTCTTAATCCTTCTCATAATTTTGGCGTCGTCAGGAAACATTGAGAGGAAGGAGTTTATACCCAATGGTAGATCATTTACGATATCAGAAACAGGATAGGTCCAAGTACAGAGCCCTGTGGGACCCCACTGGTGACTTCACTCCAATCTGTGGTCTCACCCCTCACTGTAACTCTCTGCTTCATATTGCTTAGGTACTCCCCTTATCCACTGGAACGCCCTACCAGCTACTCCTGCCTGTTTCTCCAGCTGATGCATCAGCCTCTTATGGGGTACTGTGTCAAAGGCTTTCCGACAGTCCAAGAAAATGCAGTTCACCCATCCTTCTTTTTCTTGTTTAATCTTTGTCACATGATCGTAGAATTCTATTAAGCCAGTGAGGCAAGATTTACCCTCCCTGAATCCATGTTGATGGGTTGTCACGAAGTCCCTTCTCTCCAGATTTCTTACTAGTTTTTTCTCACTATCTTCTCCATCACCTTGCATGGTATACAAGTTAAGGACACTGTCCTGTCGTTCAGTGCCTCTTGTCTGTCACCCTTTTTTGTATATTGGGACTGCATTAGCCCTCTTCCATATTTCAGGTAAGTCTCCCGTCTCCAGTGACCTACTATACACTATGGAGAGTGGCAAGCAAATTACGTCTGCACACTCTTTCAATACCCATACCTTACCTTGAGGTAACCTTGAGGTGCTACCGGGGCTTAGCGTCCCCGCGGCCCGGTCGTCGACCAGGCCTCCTGGTCGATTGAGACGGAGGCCCCATGATGAGATTCCCGTCTGGGCCAACAGCTTTTTTCAAATCCAGATCAAACAGGTGTCTCTTGACCTCGTCTCTCGTAATTTCCAACCCTTCCAAGGTCGCCTAGTTTACTGCCACCTCTCCTGTGGCAGGAGAGGTGCCACAACTGCCACACACACCTGTATTCACCTAGTTGTGTTTTGCAGGGGTTGAGCTTTGCTCTTTCGGCCCGCCTCTCAACTGTCAATCAATTGTTTACTAACTACTTTTTTCCACCCCCCCCCTCCACCCAGGAAGCAGCCCGTGACAGCTGATTAACTCTCAGGTACCTATATACTGCTTGGTAACAGGGACATTCAGGGTGAAAGAAACTTTGCCCATTTGTTTCTGCCTGGTGCGGAAATCGAACCCGCGCCACAGAATTACGAGACCTGCGCGCTATCCACCAGGCTACCAGGCCCCCTTTGTGTGTGTGTGTGTGTGTGTGTGTGTGTGTGTGTGTGTGTGTGTGTGTGTGTGTGTGTGTGTGTGTGTGTGTGTGTGTGTGTGTGTGTGTGTGTGTGTGTGTGTGTGTGTGTGTGTGTGTGTGTGTGTGTGTGTGTTTATTTACAAGAAAAATATGAACGTTTATCTCCATATAAATATTATGTAAACTTTAGCTATATACTTAACTTAATTATCTCTGTAACAGTACTCGTGTTTCTCTACGGCTTAAGAAATTGAATGATAAATGACAATAACAAATACGTGTATTATTATTGTTATTTTTCATTATAACGATTGTTTCCATCATTATTAGTAATACAAGTAGTAGTAGAAGTATAGCACTTAATCCAGTTTATTGCTTAAAGTCCTTACCAATCCGTAGCCGCCGCCGCCACCACCGTGGCCGCCGCCGCCACCACCGTAGCCGCCGCCGCCACCACCGTAGCCGCCACCACCACCACCAAATCCACCACCACCATACAGTCCGGTACCACCAAAGCCGCCACCTCCGTGTCCCCCACCAAAGCCGCCGCCTCCATGACCACCGCCAAAGCCGCCGAATCCACCACCACCACCGTAGCCGCCATGAACAGCCACAGCAGCCGACAGGGCAATGAGCAATACAGCCTTCATCTGAAGAAAACAATATTGATTAATTGACATGAGAATGCGAAAGTTTTACTGCATTAGAACACATTACACTCAAACACACTCACTTATGCATACACAAGCATACACCAAGCAACATTTGTGGAATTTGAGCTTACCGGTGATGAGGTCAAAAGGATTCTGTTGAAGCTGAATGTCACAAAGGCTGTTGGGACTGACAGAATCTCACCTTGGATACTAGGTAGCTAGTATCCATGGATAGTAAATTGTCAATATTATTGATAGGAACGTTATCCATGAAGACAAAAAACAGAAAATCCAATTGACAATTTACTACAAAAACAAAGAAAACGGCCAATCTACTCATGAAAAACTCTCCAGATACCAAACAGAACGCCCTGAAGGAAACCAACGTTGTCTATGCCTTAACATGCTCGCTTGGAGACTGTAAGACCTAAAGAGCTCAGTATATAGGCAAGACAACAGCGTCTCTTTCTAAGCCATTAACTATGCACAAACAACAGGGCTCCATCAAGGAACATATAATCTCTTCTCACAACCAGACCATCACCTGAGAAATTTTAACAAGCAACACAGAAATCATAGATAAATACAGCGATAGCCGGAGAATCGACATCAGCGAGGCACTACACATCAAAAAGTTAACACCAGCAATCAACAGCCAATTAATGCACAACTATATTCTACCCACTTCAAGACCCCGAAACAACATAGAAGCAGCAAGAGGAAGTATGGGCCAATAGGCCTTCTGCAGTTACTTCCATTCGTATGTTCTCATACCCAGTTTATAACCAATGATTCGGGTTCTGTCATAGCTTTGTCACCTCACCCAAAACTTTTGTGCCATATCACCTCACCCAAAACGAAGATAAGTATGAATGTATTTTATGTGTAAACTAAGTCTTTGAAAATGTAAAATGCATTACGAAACGCGTTCAGGAGTCAGACTAGAAATAGAGAATGAATTTTGGAGAGTTAATTTATCAATTACCTTCAATAGTGAAGAAGAACGTAAGAAATATTGAGAAGATTCGTGTTATATATATATATATATATATATATATATATATATATATATATATATATATATATATATATATATATATATATATATATATATATATATATATATATATATATATATATATATGTCGTACCTAGTAGCCAGAATGCACTTCTCGGCCTACTATGCAAGGCCCGATTTGCCTAATAAGCCAAGTTTTCCTGAATTATAATATTTTCTCTAATTTTTTTCTTATGAAATGATAAAGCTACCCATTTCATTATGTATGAGGTCAATTTTTTTTATTGGAGTTAAAATTAACGTAGATATATGACCGAACCTAACCAACCCTACCTAACCTAACCTAACCAATCTTTATAGGTTAGGTTAGGTTAGGTAGCCGAAAAAGTTAGGTTAGGTTAGGTTAGGTAGGTTAGGTAGTCGAAAAACAATTAATTCATGAAAACTTGGCTTATTAGGCAAATTGGGCCTTGAATAGTAGGCTGATTAGTGCGTTCTGGCTACTAGGTACGACATATATATATATATATATATATATATATATATATATATATATATATATATATATATATATATATATATATATATATTTTTTATAGACCGGACAAAATCCCAAGTATGCTAGATGAGACACGGAAAAATGAGATATGATTGCTACGCATAAGATCCTACGGGATACCTTCAGAGAAGTGAAGGAAGAAAAAAGATGTCCAGCAAGGGCGCCGCCAGAACGAGATAACATGGAATGCATTACAGACAAATTCTGTATGGCCACTGTGATGCACGAAAATCAATCTTAGACCTTTGTGTAACAAGTCAATGAAATGAAATAGAGTTCACGTTGTTGATTACCATCCGCAAGTATAAATGTAAATATGATTGAAATCTAGTAAGTCGGAATGCATTACATTAGACTATCGACACTGAATAGTGTTTTCAAATGCATAAGCTTTCGTTCGACTGTTAGACGGAACCATCTGACCCAGCACTACTGTTTGTGGAGCCACGAGTGAAGTTAAACGAGTGCGATATTTCCACTCTCGTTGTCAAGTAGGGTCGGCTAGAATCAATGAAATATCAAAACCGTGCAGAGTTCCCTCACATAACGCTGACCGTGGTGAAAGGCGCCTGATGTTGTGAATTTTAAGGTAAATTCTCAATTGCGAAATTTAGAAAGGCTTCGTGAAATGCTTTTCATCTTTTTTCTTTTTTTTTTTCTTAACGTCTGTCTTGACTCCATGACTCGACGCTTCCTCATTCGTTCATTTGAAAGCAAAAAGATAAACATGAAAAAATAAAAATGTCGAGATTATGTTATTTTTTAACTCCAGTGCGGCAACTTTTGAGTAAGTTTATTTGAAGACTTAATGACTGAAACGCCGTCACATTTACCTTTTTATACTCAAAGTTTTATGCAATACAACTAAAAATAAATTATAGTGACCATATGTAATATGTGTATATTACTGTATTCACCGATACAGTTGTATTACTGTTGTGTGGTCATGTGCTTATATTGTAGTGTTTGGTAAGTGTTACATCAGGTGGTCACTCACAATCATCACCACTGTTACTCACACACTCGCTAACTGACTCATCACCTCTCCTACTCACTCACAAGAATACCTCTTGGTCACTTCCCGCCACATCTGACATTCACCATCTATTTGCTGCACACCTCTCACTTACTCACCGAGTATGTCATTCACTTGCCACTAAATCACGTCAGTCACTCATTCACCACCACGCCTGTCACTCATTCACCACCACGCCTGTCACTCATTCACCACCACGCCTGTCACTCATTCACCACCACGCATGTCACTCATTCACCACCACGCCTGTCACTCATTCACCACCACACATGTCATTCATTCACCACTACACCTGTCACTCATTCACCACCACGCCTGTCACTCATTCACCACCACGCCTGTCACTCATTCACCACCACACATGTCATTCATTCACCACCACACCTGTCACTCACTCACCATCACACATGTCACTCATTCACCACCACACCTGTCACTCATTCACCACCACACCTGTCACTCATTCATCCCCACATCTGTCACTCATTCACCACTACACCTGTCACTCATTCACCACCACACCTGTCACTCATTCACCACCACACCTGTCACTCACTCACCACCAGGCCTGTCACTCATTCGCCACCTTTTCTGATGCATATTCACAGCTCCATTTGTCACTGCCCAACCTGTAAGCAACTCACCACGTATGTCTCACCTGACCCGTTGTACCGTCCGGTGACTCTCATCCCTTTCACCTGACCTGCGACGTCTGAATTAGCACACTTCCCTCTCTTACCTGACCCGCTGCACCGTCTTGAGAGAGTGAAGCCTCTCACTTGACCCACGAAGACACACTTGAGACAATAACCCACTCATCCACACTGCATCGTCTTGAGGCAATCATTCCTTTCACTTAACCCACGACCACTGACTCAACACATTGGTTGATGGTACCGCTCAGTGCACCTCTCCCTCGGGCCGGCATACCTGACCTACTCACCTCACCCACTCTCACTCTTAATTGTCATCTCACTCTTAATTATCATGGAGCCTTGTCACCGCCGCCCACTTCTAAACACGTCTAGTCCTACAGAATAACAGGAGCAGAAACATTTTGGTAGCATTTCCTTTCACCTTTTGCTTTTGTTCACCTAGCATTAAACTGGTACCTAGGCGTTTGACAACTTCTGTGAGGTGCATACTGGGTTGGTCAGTAGTTGGCTTAGTAGTTAGAGGTACACACACGCACACAGAACTGCACACATTCTGAACTGCACACTTCTGTCTTCGCTGGAAGACAAAAGAGTTAGGGGGGACATGATCACCACATTCAAGATTCTCAAGGGAATTGATAAAGTAGACAAAAATAGGCTATTTAACACAAGGGGCACACGCACTAAGGGACTCAGGTGGAAACTGAGTGCCCAAATGAGCCACAAAGATATTATAAAGAATTTTTTTAGTGTCAGAATTGGTTGATAAATGGAATGCATTAGGAAGTGATGTGGTGGAGGCTGACTCCATACACAGTTTCAAGTGTAGATATGATAGAGCCCAATAGGCTCAGGAACCTGTACACCTGTTGATTGACGGTTGAGAGGCGGGACCTAAGAGCCAGAGCTCAACCCCCACAAGCACAATTAGGTGAGTACAAGATTCACACACTCGCCCCATAACTATACCCCGGGGAGGATTGACCGGGAAATAAGCCATAACTTCGAATCTGTTCACTCAGCAGGAGTTAATGACCGGGGAAAACTAGCAGCATTAGCTATGGACAGGGAAACTCTCAGCCTGCTAACAGGAGTCAGAAGGTGTTTGCCCCATTACCCACTTGCGTAGAAAAAAAGAAAAAAGTTAACACCGCCTACTGTTAACGGACTAAAACAGTCCGTTAATTCCCTTCCATACACAGCCCGATGTCCTCGCTCACTACAGGAGCCCGATGCGGCCGCCAACTCAACCCGTCCTCTTAAAAAGAACGTCACTTTTGGCTCGTATGCGCACTATGGCCAAATTTGGACGTAATTTGAAATGAAATCCACTCACAAAAGTGACGTTCTGTTCCGTTTTCTATTTGAGTCGTCCGGCGTACGCGCAGAGGTTATAAGAGGACACTTTAAATTAACGTTTTTCATAACGTTTTGAAACTTTATGAGAATTTCCTGCCCACCTAACCTATCAGAGGACCCTTAACTTACTGTTGTTGAAAAAAAAAATCCCAAATTTATTTTCATATTTTTTTAATTTTCAAATTACGTCCAAATTCGGCCATACTGGCAAACGGCCAAAAGCGACGTTCTTTTTAAGAGGACAGGTTGCCAACTACAACAGTCCATTCATAGCACCCACTTGCTGTCGCTCCCTTTTGATCTCGAACGTCATTCCGCTAGAGCCTGCAATCCCCAGTCACTATTGCCGCCACCCGCTACCACTACCGC